TCACCTGCCACCCCCACCAGCAGCCCGAGACCATTTCAAAGCCGTTTTTTAGGCGCAGGTCAGTGAAATCCAGTTATCGCTTCAATTCCTTTCACGAGTGCTAGTCCTCCTGGGGCCAATCTCAAAACTCCACTTTCCTTTCAGGTAATCGCGCAGCTCCACCACCGCCAATTCAGATTACCCGTGAGGAGACGCCAAAAAAGAGAGAAGTCGAGGACGACGTCGACGACGAGGAGACGAGCAGTTCCTCGGAGGAGACCGAAACGGAAACTGAGGAAGAGTCCGAGCAAGAGACACGGACAAACACCGCAAACGTAGCACCCTCCTCGCAGAAGCAGCAGAGAAATGAAGCGGCAATGGCCCGGACCGACATCGGCCCACTGCTGGCCAGAAGTGCTGAAGCAAGACGCGGCAGCAAGGAGGACTCACCATCCACCAGGTAAGCTTGTCGTTAAAACTGTCATGACATACTTCCGTGTGATCTTTCATGAAACTAGACTATCTGATACTGGACAATAAACATAATCGATACATACAATCGATTCATTTTATTATATCCAACAACCGCATCTCCTACTATTTCCAAATTGTTCGTCCCCGCTGATGTGTCGTTGTTTTGTAAGAATTGTTTCTTTCTCGTGACCCTTACGACATGTCTAGGTATTCATCGCCACGTGGCAGTCCGGCGCACTCAACATCGTCACCAACTGGATTGACGTCGTCATCGCCGAGTGGCTACACGAGCAGGTTCGTAAATAACACGGAGCAAGTGAACAATGTGCGTTTTAAAGACTTTGCAATTGATAGCGGAAGCGATATGCCGAGACTTAGTGTCGAGGACGACCAAGCCGCGTCTGATATCGATGTTAGAGAGTTGAATGATGTCAATGTCCTCAATATGGTTAACGACCTCAAAAAAAATATGAATGTTGATGCGGATGTTATTAATGAGGACTTCACCAAGAATGGAAGTGATTTGGGTGGGAAAATGATAGCCGTCGAGAGCGATTACAAGGATAATGAAAAAATTCTCGACTATTTGACCCGCGTTGCACAGGATCGAGACATCACTCCCATGGAGGAGGATTCTGATCAAGAGGAAGATGTGCAGATTTCCCTCGGGGAAGACGAGATGTACTCGGACAATCAACAGTACAAAGTCCACAGTAATGAAAACTCGATCTCCAGCGAGATATCGCCGGACGAGAGTTCCGAAGGGATTTCTTCAAGTTTTGGACATTCTGGATTGATTGATCCGAAGAACAGCAATGAGTCTGTAGTTTTGGTCGATCGGGAGTCTAGTGGAAAGTTCAACTCGATTGGTCGTGCTCGTCACAGAACGATGAGTGCAGAGCATTTATTCGATGATCAGGGCTGGATCGTCACGAGTGAAGATCTTGAACTGAATAAATCGAGGATTCCAATTTATCTTGTACGAAATGTTGACCCTCAGTCTGATGGCTTTCCAAATGATGCCAGAACTGAACTATTGGGTACTGATGAATCTTGCGAAGAAGAGATGACTGGAGAGAAGTTAGTTGATGATGATATGAATGAACAGAATTTCGAGATGATGCATAACACGAGACACTTGACAGAAGCTTCCAGTAGTGAAGCTATTACCGAAAACACAGCGGATGGATCAATAAATTCCAAGTCTAACCAACGAGATGACGATGACTCTGAAGATGACTCGAATCATACTTCTGATGATGTCCTTCAGGCAAGTTTTTGGTCACGAAGCAATGATGACACAGACCAAATGGATGAAGCTGATGAAGCGGACGAAACGAAAGAAGCTACAAGGAATTGTCCCCAAAGAGAAGTTGAAGAAGTTACAAAGAATGTACATATGAATGGAAGGGCTAACCATGTCCTTGGGAATCCCATGCCAATGCAAATGGTCACCACAATTTTTTGTGTGTCAGTACTTTGTTACGGAGTCCTTACGAATTTGCTTCTGCCATGATGGACTAGGTTGGCCACATTGATGATACCCAGCGTCCATATTCCCTCGCGATTTTGCATAATCATCGAGAAGTTAGCATTTCCTTTTTCGCCAGACATTGTGATAATTATTCCGTATAGTCTTTTTGGCTTGAATCGTCCAGTTATCGACGCTAATTTTCTGCTATCGTCGTCTATCAATTGCGTGATTGGTTGCTCAGTTTTTGTACTATTTTTTTCAATTTGAATATAATGAAGCATTTTAATGCGTCAGTGTGTTGATGTAGTAAATAAAATGCAGTCTTATACTAACTCGTTTTGTTTATTTTTTCCCTTTGAAATTGCAATGATTGAAGAAATGGCATTCATTGGAATATATCAGAAATCAATACCGAGTTATCTTTCGTCGTAAAGCATAATCAAGAAGACAACACACAGATCTAATAGCAAACGCCAAAGAGAATCTAAGAAATCTGCAACTAATAACATCGATATTGATTTATCCGGTGAATCGAGGAATTGAGAGAGCTACGAAGGAGGGCCGATGCATGTTTTGTTGTGGTTTCTTCACATTTCCTTGCCTAAGTCAAGAATTTATTCAGTCGTGACCCGATTTATCATGCGCTTGCATTATTGACGAATGTCGAATGAATGATTCTATTCATAGATCTCATCTCTACCATAAATATTGTCTGATCGAATAAAAATTGCATCTCACCTTTTGCTATTACCATTTCCATTCATCCGGATAACTTCATTGCAACCCGCATGAACCACTGCGACCATCGAAGATACTTGGTAAACAGCTTGAGCTCCAATAGATGATCCACTAGATCTCTCTCGATCCTTTCAATCTCCCCGTATGCTGCGCTCTGTACCCCTTGCACCTGCATGACACTTTTTTAAACGTAAAAAACTGATTGAAATTCTAGATTTCTGAATAAGAGCAGAAGCCAAGCAACGGTGGGAGCCCCGCGTGAGCGAGAACGTGAACGCGACCGTGAGCCAGAGCCCGAGGTGGAACCACTGTCGCCCCGGACACGCTACGCGGCCCTCAAAGAGAGACGCCAGCGTGTCGCGCGATCGCGGAGCTCTCACAATTTTGCTAACGACGATCTCGACCTAGATGAGGATCCACCATCGCCAACAACTCAATCACCGAACGCCTATCTAGCTGCCAAATACGGGGCGGGTTCGGAGTTGGCTCGGAGCCGCAGTACACACGCGCTCAAGTCTCGAGAGCCAAGTCCGGACCGCGATCGTGCCGGTGCGGAGAAAGATGGCGCTGCCCTGAGCTCTTGGGCACGTTACCTCAAGAACAAGTACGGCAACAGGAATGCAAAGGACAAAGAGTCCACATCCACGTCATCTGTTCCTTCTGCCAGGTATGTACTTTGGGATTCCCCCGAATTCTTGGACCCACCGAATGAGACCTTGAATTTTTCAGCACGAGTGCCGCCTCCAGGAGACTGTCTCTTGGTCTGCCCTTGAGACATGTCGGTCAAACTTCCTTCGAATCCTCTGACGACGACCAAAAAAACCCGTCAGGCTCCCCCACGTCCCCTACAGCAGCTCAAGGTATCCCCGCGGCAGCAGGTTCCTCAACTAGGTAAGTCTCAATACTCAATAATTATTTTGCTATGTACATTCTACATTGCATTACATTCTACAATAGTTATTGCATTCTTCAATAGGAACCAGTACATGCTGAAGCGGCGGCAGCTGTTGAAATTTGGGATGCGGGGGAGCGGAGCCGGATGTTTCACCTGGCCGCGAGGTCTTGCGGTCGGTCCCGACAACTCCATCATCGTGGCGGACAGCTCGAACCACCGGGTGCAGGTCTTCGATTCCAACGGGAAATTCATCAATGAGTTCGGTACTTACGGTAACGGCGAGGGCCAGTTTGACTGTCTGGCTGGAGTGGCAGTTAATCGAATCGGTCAGTTCATCATCGCTGATCGATACAATCATCGGATCCAAGTGTTCGACCCCTCCGGTCACTTCCTCAGGACCTTCGGGTCACAGGGCACGGCTGACGGTCGCTTCAACTACCCCTGGGGCATCACCACCGACGCCCTGGGCTTCATCTACGTCTGCGACAAAGAGAATCACCGAGTGCAGGTGCGTAGTCTCGAAATCTCCAGGTAAAACGTGTAATTATGTCCAAAAATATGAAGACGTGTTGGAAAAAATGACTGTCAATTTCTCCTAGTGGATATTTTTGGATATTTAGTGAACATTGAGATGAACTGCATGATAAATTGTAATCGTATCGTCTGTTGACTCTAGGTCTTCCAATTTTTTTTTATTTTTTTTTCACCCAGGTATTCCAGTCAGATGGGACATTTGTGGGTAAATTTGGTACCTGTGGCGGTGGCAGAGGGCAACTAGAGCATCCTCACTACATTGCTGTGAGCAATACCAATCGAGTGATCGTGAGCGATAGCAATAATCATCGGGTTCAGATATTTGACGTGGGGGGACGAGTGTTATCGTCGTTTGGGTCCGAAGGGACTGAAGACGGACAGTTCAAATTTCCACGTGGTGTCGCTGTTGACGATCAGGGGTACATCATCGTGGCGGATTCAGGCAACAATCGCATTCAGATATTTACACCTGATGGCGGATTCGTCAGGGCCTTCGGCAACTGGGGTAGCGGCGACGGAGAATTCAAGGGACTAGAGGGCGTTGCTGTCACCTCCTCTGGAAATATTGTTGTGTGCGATCGGGAGAATCATCGGGTCCAAATCTTTTAGTCCCAGTATCTCTCGTTATTTCTCTTCTTATTCTATTGTAATTCACTAATTCGGCTTCTTGGTTTGATGTATTCGTTTGAAATTATGGAACATTGTATGGTTGTCTTCGAGGATGATTAATAAAATTACATTGTAAGCTTATCCTATCATTATATAATTCCTGGATGATGGCGGATGGCTGAAGCACAACATTTTACCATTAAAAAGTGAAGGAAATAATTTGTACTGTTTGTATGCTTCAAATACATTGTTGCGCGGAATATTTAATGGAGTATCATTTCGCAGGAAAAGAATAAATAAATATGTGCCATTCTGTATTCGTTGGACGGCATTATTGACGTACAACATTCGATTTAATATTAATTGGATTTATTCACAGCGAATTAACTTGGTTTAAACCAGGAACGAACTGGAATGTATCTTTCTGCTCATCGGATCATCTCATAAAAAGTGCGGGAATTATCAGAATATATCGAATTATTATCGAATTATTATCGAATTATTATCGAATTATTATCGAATTATTATCAAATTATTATTGAATTATTATGAAGATTTACTACGATGCAAGACAGAAATATTTCGTCAACGCGGGTCACGGTACGAAATTCTATTTCTGTGCCAAGCTCGAGAAAAATGGATCCAACTACTGCGAAATAAATTTGAAAAATCCACTAAAGTATTACGAGAATTCTTTTTTTTCTATAAAAAATTTGTTGATAAAAATCTCGCAGAAAGAGTCGGCAGATTTTTTTCCCATGACATAATAATAACAAAAAATCTTATCGACCCAGAAATTAATCTTTCATTAATTTACTTGATCTAATAAATTGTAATATTATTTATTTCTGCAATTCACTCCTTCGTTTTTAGAAATATTTAATATTTGATGTTGCGATTTTTAAAATAAATTCTTCGGTCATACGTCAGAATAAATTTCAGTGATAAAAAATGGATGCAATAATGAGATATGATGCGATGAGAGATGGAATGGCTGGGATTGAATGAGGGGTACGAAAAATAGAAAATATCTCGGGGTAATTCAATAGGTAAGTGAGTCAATAAATATATAATTTATTAAATGCAATGATGAATTGGAGTAACAATGAAGAAGAAGACGGATAATGATTATAATTGAAAATCATCATCTTCCTTTGGACGACACTGTGAGGTAATTAATACTACCATCCGTCTCCCCCAAAATCGGGAATAGATAAAATTGTTTCGTTATTTACAATATTCGTTGAACGATATTGATCAAATGATAAACAGAGGTATATTCATTCATTAGTTAACATCATTATTTAATTATTTTGTCGCTTCTCGCAATTCATTCCCATGCTTTTATCAATTTCCTCATATGCGAGTTGAAATATTATAAGAAAATGGCGCATAGTCTTTTTTCTAAAAGCAAATAGGACAAAAGTGCGACATCCTGTGGCTAAATTCGTACGGACATATCACGCTCCAATGATTTCCATTCGTTTTTTTACTCCATTTTTTTATTGTAAAAATAAATAAAGCTCAGATTTTATCGATTGAATCGCCTGTGATGAATTCTAAAACAGCTGAAGAAGAATAAATATCGGTACGTGGAACAGAGTTGCTCCCGTCAAGTCATTAATAAAATTGAATAATTTATCAAATAAAGGATTGAAAGTTTAACTATTAATACCCTCGGTAATTCGGTATGCATTAACTATTCGTCAATCTGACGCTCTGATTTTACTGATGTCTCGTTATTTCTCGTGAATCTCAATAGTAAAGAAGTTAAAGTTGATTATTCGAAGCTAATTTAAGGGGCAGCAAGTAGGCCATGCGTTGGCTCCATTATTTAAGATTTAAAAACGTTTTTTTTTTCCCGTTATTATTTCTTGTACTAATCATGACTTTTCAGGATTCATTGAATTAAAATTACGTCTTCATGTCATCTTCGAAGCGTCTATGGATTTAACTGTTTTTTTTTTTCTCATTTTCTATCGGTTAATTTGATATCCTTCTGGTAAACGGGAAGGATAAATCTCTTGAATTTTTCAAAAGCAATGCGATTCAAAGAAGATATAAATAAAGTCGTCTCATCGGTGGTGGATTGAGGCATGAATCATCATTAAACTGGAAAAATTAGTAATAGATAATGTTAGTAGCAAAGTCAGATTCGCTTAGAAGTGTCTATAAATCTCGTTAAGTAACGATATTCATCATTAAGAATTATCTTTTTGTTATGTAAAATCTGAAAATTCGTAGAACTTTTTCCCTGCATAGGCAAAAGCGTACGATTAACTTTCCTGAAATAATGTACTTGTTCTATTAACAGAGCGCATACCTCCCAGATTACTAAATTTCAATGAGTGGATCACTGGAATGTATAAAGAGCAAAAATACTCAATATATTATACTGGTTTGTATACAATATATTGGATAAATCTCACTGACCCTCTCTAAACAGGTCAGCATGAGATTGTTATTAATTTATCGTTTAATTTTACTGATTGAAAAATTTAATATTTTCTGCCTCGTTCTCATTAATTTAACCTCAATTAAGCACTGATACCCTTTTTATAAGCTTGATGCATGAAAATGTTGGAATTGACTCATGTGTATATCTTCTCTTTATATACATATTCCTTTTACAATGCAATTTTTATTTATCACTATCGTAACGCTTATCGAATTAATCCAATATCTACAGTTAAGACGCAATTATCAAGATGTCTTGATATTCCGTTATGATGGAACTGAGGGGTTTGAGCGTGTGAGCTTAACAACTAAATCATTTTGTCTGTGACACCACCTCGCCTATTCTCATCGTTGAATTTCTATTTTCTCGGAGTTAGCAGCTTTCGTCTTTTGAGAGGCCTCGGTTGTTCGAAAAAAAAGTCACTGGAATGCGGAAGATACTTCGCAGAATGAATTCTCTGCCAAAAAGTTACGGAATTTCCTCAAAGATGCCTTAAAATATTTCTTCTTTTTATAGAAACTGAATAAAACTAGTGGAGAATGATCTAACAGCGATAAACTATTTCAATTCATGTTCAAAAATACGAGGTGAGTTCCGATCGCGCGCGCCGCCATCTTAAATACCCTCTCCTCCCCTGTAGCACCGGATTTCAAATATGGCGGCAACTCCACCTCGCATTTTTAGATAATTATTATAATTATTTAGTCTGCTCCGGTGAGCCTCAATTAATTCCATCATTCTATTCTTGACTGAACAATTCTTGAAAAGTATCTTTCAGATATTTTCGCTCTCTTTTGGCTGAGAATTCGTACAATGAATTTTTCGAAATTCCGATACCTCTCAAAAATACTGACTACCGGCTATTAGTTTTATTTTGAATTTTGTCTTTTGTTCTTATATCTGCAAAGCATCGGAAATACTTTCTTTGATCACCATCATTATCACATTATGTAGCAATACAATTTTATCACCAACGCACAAGTCTCAGGTTATGTTAGATATAAATTCTACATTGGGATTGTTCTGGATAGCGCACTGAGTTAATCTCACGAAAAAAATGAAAGATTGAAACCTTCTCATATTACGACCAATTAGTTAATCATCTCCCAATAGCGGGATTATTCGGTAATTGATTGAAATATATAATCGATGAAAAGTATTGATTAGTTCCTAGACTAGAAGTCTGAGAAAATTGAATTATCGTAGAATGATGAACTACCCATCGTCAATAAGAAATTGAATATTTGTTTTGAAGGTTCTGGAATAAATATGTACATCTTTAGAATCTTGTCCTCAATCGCTATTTTGCGAAGAAATCACTAGGGGTCATTCTCTCGAGATTTCCGATGAGACACTCTGACCAATGAACAGAACTCTATAAAAAGGGCTGTCTAAATGATATGTCGATATCATTGCGAACAATTTTCTACTCTAGACTGTATCGTAAATTTGATTTCACTCCTCCACTCTTATCCATATAACAAATCAATTCACCTCAACTAATGTCATAAATTTTTATTAAAATTTCCAGAATAAAGTTTTAGTATTTTACTTCAGAATCATGAATCAGAATTAAAATGAGAAGAGAAGAAGATTCAAGTATATTGCAACGACGCGGTGCTTGCAAATATAAGATTTAACAATATTGCAGTATTTGTCGAGTCTATGAGATAAAAGTCTGAGATTTCAATTGAATTATTTTTCAAGGAAGAAGCGGCATGGAGTTCATGCTGCGATATCCCACGGACGATAATTTTAATAGAAAAACTCAGCGCTTTCCCTGAGAATTTTTCGCTGCAAAGATTTTTATGAATAACACTTTCACGTTTTTTCCTTTGGATTTTATAACAACAAGAAAATAAATTCCTCTAGAAACGAGCAGAATAGTCCAGTGATGATGATAAAGAGAGAAAAGCAAAGTAGGATTCTAAGACTTCAGAATTCTTACAGCTGTAGTGAAAATTTAACAGGATTTCTCGGAGAAAGGGCAAAGTTCTTCTATAAATTTTTAAATGCGTGCATTCGCATAAAAAATTGTACAGATAAATGTGCAGTTACCAACGTGGGTGGTAGCTGAACGCCGGTCTCTAGAGACCTAGGCGGACATTTTGTTGTGAAAAGTTGGTTCCACTCGAGTGAGCGGGAGGTGGCATCTTCAGCAGCCGAATGTACCAACGCAGGTTTCAGCGGTCCCCTGCGTCCACTCGGACAAAATAAATATAAATAAAAATATACAGTCGATTCGCGATCCAGTCTCTATCGTCTTTTCATCGATAAATTAATCCGATGAAACAAGAAACACCCATCTCTAACAGCTTGGGTCTCTAGGTGTTGACAGGGAGGCAGCATGATGGACGGTCAGAAGTTCCACCTCGCAATTGGTCGCTCTTGGATTCGAATCGAGATTCACTAACCTGAAATCACAGATTTTTCATTCAATGATTGATCAGCTAGGGCATGCAGTGCACACTGTTCAAATATTTTCACTGAATTTTCTGGATTTGTTCCCTGAACTATCGAACAAATAAAAAATTCGAAGAAACTTCTCGAGTCTCCAGAGAATTCAGTAATTTTTTCAACAGTGCATTCTATCACTACCAAGTGTATCGGTTGTAAGACCAAGTAGCGATGGCGTCGGGATTAGCTTCTAGGCTAAATCAGGGCTAGTTTCGGTGGACAACAGCCATTTGAAAACGTTGCACTGGCAGCTTCGCGTTCCCTCTTGCGACGGCCTTGGCGTTCTGCAGTCTATAAAAACGGGAGATCTACAGGTGAGTCAAATAATCAACAATCATTTACAATTTTTCCTAATGAACCTAATATTGTCGCGTGACCTCCGATCTCATAATAAACTCACCGGTCGAGTGTCATCCAAGGACAAGCTATTGTCAAACAAGAAGTCTATGTCTTGAATCAATTTATTTATTTTACGTAAAAGTGAAATGGGACTTATACCCCAAGAGTATTGCACAGGACTGTTTTTGTGACTGTGTCGACGTTAATTATTCTATCAGCATGAATTCTTCAGGAGAATGGACTTATTATCAAGAGGTAAACTCACTTGATTTTTGACTGACGCATGAACTGCTGTATTTTCCTCGCAGCCTGATGCGCCGCCTGCTGATGAACGGATTGTGGTCTTGTGCTTTTGAAACTCGGACGAGCGCGATAATTGCGATAGTTGCTCTGAATGACGAGCGCTGCTTTGTTAGCTTGTCTGTAATATTCAAAGCTCCAGATGCACATCGTACTCAACAGTAATGAATAATTGACTCTACCTGTGGTATGCGTATTGTTTGTGACGTCGATAGTACTGTTGAATGAGAATAGCAGCATGTCGTTCAGCTTCTTCCTGTCGCTGCCTCCCTTTGTAGCTCCTATAGGCTTTCTGAATCATTTGAGCTGCTTGGTAGAGCTCCCTCTGTTCCCGATCAGAGAGTGTCAATCTACTGAGATCAGCTTCGCTGCCATCATGACTAGTCGTCCTGCTGTAAATACCAGACCCAATGGGCCTCTCGACGCTGTGGAAATGGGTGGTTCGTCCGTTGTCCAGCTGCAGCTGCAACTGCAAGAACTCACAGAAATCGGAAGTCGTTGGTGATGGCGATGGTGAGTCTGGAGTCAAACAGCTGCTGGAGGGACTCGAGGGACTCGCTTCGGCATCCACATCGGATATTGATGCGGCTCCACCACTGCATTCTCGGTAGCAATCAAACAAATCGCTTGAATTCAAAGGCTGCGGGAACATCATGTCAACAGTCAGAATCAATCTGTGATTAAAACGTTAAATGATGGAACAGAGAAATTCTACCATTGGCTCGGTCAGAGGGTCCTCCAGTAGAGCCAATGGGGTGGGTGAGGGCGGTGGCAGGGATGTACTTCGATTTGTTTTCTCCCTCTTAATCCTTTCTGGAAGTGCTGCGATTATTTGCTCGGCTAATGTCAACACCCGCACATCTTCCTCCCCTACAAAACAGGAAATGAAGGTTTAGCGATACTCGCAAAAAGCAGACAATCTGTACAGATTAGTTTTGTTATTCTACACATTGAAACATCAACATCGAAAAGTTTGAACTCATTGGGTTTTCTTCTACGTCAGCTGTTATCGCTCAGTTGTCTAAGCGAGACATATTATTCACACTGATATTACAGACGAAAGTATAAACGGATGTAGATTCTTCATTGGATGTTCCCTCTTCATTCTTCGGTCAAAAAAATCCCATACTGTCCCCAGGCCAAGCTACATCAATATTTGCTGAAGCCGAAATAGTTTGAGAGAGATATTACAGAGTTTGTGATCTTGTGTTCTGTCGTCAAAGTTCGATAGCTCGATAATCGGAATGTACGAGAATTATTCCACCAAATGCCATTCAACCAGAACATGTCATAATGCCGTCCTCTGGTAATTGGCGGAATGACCCCGTAATGTCCCAATTAAAGTATCGATTCCTTCAATCCTGATATTCGACGATAGGAGGAAACCAGATCGTCTACACTGACATCTAAATTAGTGTTTGAAAAATCAAATACAACTCAATATGAAAAGTGTTATGCATATTTGGGAAACACAAAGACAGACAGACAGACAAAACACACAGGCGCAGGCAGAAGGAGTTGTTGTGACTTCATTTCTATGTATATTCTTTTCCAATGTGAAAAAGTACGGACCTACGGACGATTGGGAGCTTGATGTACTCTCCATTCGCTGTGAACCAATGCCTACGGACGAGTCATCTTCTTGTGAAAATTCCATATTCTCCAGTAGCAGGGAACCACCTGTGTTTTTCGATTATAAAACCCCTTAAAAATCTACAGATTCTCACAATTAATGTGACGGTACAAATTGGGACCCAATTGGGACTCTGATCACTCTGTCGCATTATAAATAATCAAAATTTCTAAAAAGGGAAAGTATCTTGTGCTACAGATAGCTAACCTGCCATATATGAATGGATAATAGCCATGACATTATCGGAGAAATTTCACAGAATTAAAGATTAAAGTGAAAGGACTAACATGATGCCAAATCGAGTCCGCTGTCCTGCGAAGGTCTCCTTGGACTGGGGCTTGCTGGTCTCAAAAACAAGCGTTCGTCCTGTCGGCGCGCCTCCATGCGATTCAGCTCCTCAGTTATGACCCCGTGACCATTTTCCGCGGCAATCTCCGTGGCACTTCTGTTCTGCCGGTCCTTCACGCACAGGGCCATCGCATTCCACCTGAAGGAACCATCAAATAACCTTTTAGACTCACCGTTATGTCATCAACTTCAGACGCTCATACCGATAAAGGATACGCGCAGTGTCTGCATGTCCTGCGCCGCAAGCCCAGGCCAGAGGTGTCATTCCAGCATTGTCCTGTCGAAGAGCATCAACCTCGGCATCCAAGACACTGCTTGGATTCTCTGCACGCCAGTGAAGAAGAGCACAAGCCAGCCTGGAGTAGCCGAGTCCAGCAGCCAAATGAAGAAGTGTTGGCCCAGTCGATTGCAGAGGCTCAGCACCGGCTCGCCAAGGACGAATCACTGCGTCCTACAAATACCCGATTAAATTTCTCCAATCTCTATCCGACCTCGATCATGAGAATTACCTGGCAATACGCTACTAGTCGTTCCTCAAGGTGTGCAACTGGTGAGCGTGGACCGGGTCCCTGCAATCGTGACTCTACATCCGCGAAGCGATCCAACAGTGCTTTTTCAGGGCTAGGCTCTGTAGTGGGTGCTCGTCTGTACTCAAAAGCAACACTATCGGAGACAACGAATCCATCGCAAGCCACTTGGAGGGATGCTATGCCAGGTGCATGCGCTGGGCATCGACAACGTAATACACCGGGCTGAACGAGACAGGCTTCAACAGGTTCTGTATCGAAAAGAACCGAGTACGATTGGGAACTGCCCCCACCAGTCCACGGTCCTGCCACTAATACCTGAAGAGATTTGCCTGTTTGATTCTCATCCCTTCATGAACATCTCCTTTGACTTACCTTGACGCCACCCTCGGTGTAGCTCCACTCCGGGCTGTACTCAGCAATGTGAACTGTAGCTCCAGGACCACGAGTGCTGTCATTTTGTGATGAAGTACTCCGGCTCTCGGTTTTAATCTGTTCAGTCTCAAAATCGTGGAGCTCCGGCAGATCTCCGAAGACATCGAAAGCGTCTAGATTGACCAGCACGTCGTCAGAGGAGTCGATGAAATCCATGGGATTTATTATGTGGTTGTCAGCCGGCGAGGGAGAAGGTGACGATGGTATCATGTTCGCTGACAGAGTTCTCTGGATGTCTTCCTGACTGAGATCAAGGGTCTCGACGAATTCAGTGACGTCTGTACCACTTCCTGGTGTGACGATGGTCTGTAGGACTGGTCTGTCATTATTCTCTTGGGTATTTATGTCCTGCTGTGTCTGCTGTTCACGATCGACATTCGTCTGCTGGACTGGCGTCTGCTCGTTGACTGCCTGAATCTCCGTCTGGTGATTCTGCGGCTGTGACTGCGTCTGCTTCTCCTGCTGACTCTGCGACTGCTGCTGATGATGATAAGGTTGGCTATTCAGTATCAAAAGACCACCTCCACCCTGTATTTGTTGTAAACTTAGAACGAGGGGTGTTGCTTGTTGATTTTGAGCTGGATGAGAATGTCTGGAATATACACGGGTCGATGACCCCGTCGATGAGGTATGCTGACCTCCAGTCGTCGAAGTCACCTAGAAGTATCAGAAATTGGGGCAATTGAACGAGTCTTCGATGACGTGAGAACTCCATTCGCATTTTTCTTTTTCCCATCTGTCGATAAAATGGGTCAGACATTGAAGGGTGAGGGACTTAATATCATTTTGATTAATAGATCGGAATGGAGTGTACGAACAGTAAACAATTGCAATTGCTATCGAATCCTCGAAGACAGCTTGTCACAATCAATTTGTACCATTTCGCGATTCCAATTTTTTTCTTTCTAATCAATTAATAATTCATTTCATAATAAAAGAATGTAGAATTACTGTAGCTTTGGGTTGGATTATTGATACAGTAAATGACATATTCAGTTCAATAAACATTAATTACCTGATTGTCAGGTGTCAATCTTCTAGGAGCTAATTGAGCAGCACTGGATGATGTGCTTGATGACGCCCGTTGTCTATCCAGCAGCTGAGTTACAATCATATCAACGGGATGTGTAGAGTGTTGATTCAGATGAGCATTATTTGGATCATCATCGCTGCCCAGAAACATCGGTCGCAGCTGAGCGGCCAATTCGTCCCTCGTCCATTCCTTTTTGTCAGGTGGTAGAACCAGACACGGCGGTAGAGCTGCCAACTTGGCATCCCCATCAGGATATGGAACGTTGAGATAGTGAACGAGTACAACATCGGGATTCTGGAGGAGCCAGTAACAGCGCCGATGGAATGTCGGCAATATCGCTGAGTGGACATAGCATCCGTAAATGCATTCCACCCCCTGGACCTTTGGTTTCCAATCGCATTGTTTTCGTGGTTAACGGTTGGCATCGATATTTATCAATTAACGATTATACAAACCTTCAGCTTCATGTGATCCTCCCGCGTCGTCTTCCCGTCCTTCCGCTTCTTCCAGCAATAGCCATCCCTTCGATAGCGTACCTTCTTCCGCGAATACAGGAGCATTGAACCACTCCGAGGACGCACCTTGACCTCTCGGCTCTGCCATTCTGTGTGTCTTTGGAAGCTGATCAAAATAGCGGCGATTTCCTGGAAGCATTCGCATTGATTTTTCTCTGGTTTCTGACACTCAGTAACAATACAATCCATTTCATCGAAAGCCTGATGCATTAAGATCGCGCATTTTTCCACTGGCAGTGATTTTTTAGGTCGACAGTGAATTTTTGAGAACGCGATATTTTATTTTAATCATTGGAGACAAATGGGGCTGGCGGACGTTTGAGAACCGCTGCCGGTAACGTCAGACACTTCATTAGCGACTGCGCTTATATCATGACAACAAAGTTCGATTCAGCCGGGATTCGAACCCCCACAAACTTCTCGCTAAATTAAGTAATTGATCATCACACATTATTCCTCATTTATTGCTCATGAGGTAGACTCTCACTCCTCTCCAAACTATCTACACCCTCATTAACCACTTTCTTTAATTTCCTAAATATCAAACTCCTCATCAATTCTTCTGATTCCGTCAAAATTCAAGTCTTCATCTCCTAGATTATCGGAATTAAATATCATATCTTCCGCTCCATCATGCCCTAAAAATTTCCAGGAGCAACTCCATCCGCTGAAAAAAAATGGAGCACTCGATTTACACCTGAATCTAGTGGTTCTCGAGAGTTGAGATAATTTCATCGATTGAGTGCTTGCCTCGGGAAATTATTCTCCATCCTCATCAATACAGTTGAGTTAAGATAAACGATGGGTGGAGGTAAAAGAAAATGGGGAAATGAAGGAAAGTCCAAAAGCATTTCGAGACTCACCAACTCGAGTCGACTCAACACCAGCTTGGTAACTCTGGTTATTGATCGGAGGCCGACTGGGGTCAGAGTAGTAACGTGGACTACATTGGGAAACACGCATGTCTGTACAACTTGCTGTATATAACACACATTGAAAATACGGATATATTTTCACCTAGCGTATACCATAAACAGGGACTATGGCCTGATCCATACACATAACGATGCACACGCGGTGTAACACATTGCTTGAATACACGCTAAATAGGTACATGTATGCCTATGGCATAACAACGCACCGATGGATTATCAACGGTGACCTGTGATAGGCATCTCACCTGGTCATGTACACTGCTTGAAAATTACACTTGAAATTTCAAGTCGAGAAATTTATAACGCAACCACAACGCCCGGTTATTTATCAATCATCCATTCACGGACAGAAATATTTAGTAAAAATTACGGAACTTTCAGTTCACTTACCGATTATGGAGTTGATTCGAAAAATTTAAGTGATGGTATCGTTATTTTTTATGGATAATTCAGATAAAAATGGCGGAACACCGCGGAAAAATTCCGTAACTTTAGATAGAAATTACGTGATAATTCCGTAAAATTTCCGACAACTACATTTCGCTCCAGAATTACGGAAAATACACGTAATTTTTATTGAATATTTCTCTCAGTGTTTACCAAGGTGTTGAGGTCTCGAGGATAATCTCAGATTTTTTATTTTATTTTTATTTTTTGAAAAAAAAAGATCATTTGATGAATTTCAGGGAATTTTAGAATCAAATTTTTGAGAATGTGAAGTTGTGGAAAAAAGAAATTAGAAATGAGACGGAAGACGGAGGTTTTATTATTTGAAGTGTTAGGGTAATGGGAATATGTAATTTATTAAATAAATAAAATGTGTTAAAAGTGTATTTAACACATATTTTATATATTTTTTGCAACGAATGATTCCTTTTTTTTTTCTTTTCTCAGAAAATGTCACTGCCGTCAATCACATGTGCATTAAAAACTATCAGGTGTGATGTTCTTTGTTTAAAAAACAATACCCGTCTCCGGAGAATTGAATACGATGGAAAATATCCTCCCGCAAATATTTTAATATCCTTTCTTCTCCTCCTACTCCAGTTTTTATATTTTTCTACAAACAATTCACTATTCTTCCAATTATTAAAAACAATAACAATATTTATTGCAGTTAAATATACCAGTCACACGAAAATTATCGGGGAATATTATAATTTTGGATTCCATTTTTTACCACGAGAAAACGGGGAAATTATTCATAAATAAAAGATGTTTTTTGGAGTTAAATAGAATTTTTGGTTTTTCATTCATTTTTTTTATCGGACGTGCATTCCCTGTTGTTCAATTAACAATTGAAGACTGATTTATCGGGTATAAATTCAAGTATTCACCTCGTTTGTGTTCCATCGATGCCTCTGGGTGGGAAAATGCTCGGCTCGGGGTAATGTTTCCAAATTTTCGGGTAGTTTTATTGGATCGCCATCTAGAATGAGAGAGTCCACAGGAATGAGAGACTGTAAAAATTATCAGCCCACGATATCAATGAATCACTCATTAAATCCACAAAAAAAAAATAAAATGCATGCCATGACGTAATGGAGAGGATCCCCACATTTTCCAGATCTACGAATCGTCGCTATCAGTACAGAATCATTTCGTTATCATTCATTAATTTTTTAAACTTCATTTCAGTTTTTTCATAATTTTTTGTCAATCAAATTGACAGTTTAATCCCAAATCCCCGGTGTTGGTCCACGAAATGACATTCTATCGTACTGATGCTAAAAAATTTCAGAATTCATCCCCGAGATCTAGATGAAAAAATATTTTCGAGAAATGTGCGTCTGCGGAATTAATTCAATTGGTGGAGAGAAATATTCAGTTTAAATTAAAAACAATTTATCGAATCAGAAGAAATCGTTTCTTGGGAATTAATCAATCAACCTATCGATTAATCAACCCCATAATTACGTAATTAATCATCTGTAATTAATCGGTATCGAAATGATGATGTAATTAGAAAATAAACGAGTCATCAATATTTTTTAGAGGATAAATCGTAGAATTTCAGTTCCAACTGCCATTTTTTACTGAATTTTACTTCTTTCGTGAGTTTTTTTTTTAGTACTGAATCTATCTCTCCACGTGGAATTGCACATGTATTATTATTGAAAAGAATGGATCAACGAAAAACGGTTTAGAAGCACCGGCGTGCAACCTTGAAATGAATCGGTCTCTTCGAGTACTCGACAGCAGAAAAAAAATATGACTCCAGTAAAATGCATTTATTTACAACAATTAAATATACTCGGTGGGACAAAATCAAGTGAAATATAAATAAATAATTATCTAGTTAATCTGGCAGGAGAGAAATATTTAGTAAAAATTACAGAACTTTTAGTTCAATTACCGATTACGGAGTTGATTCGAAAAATTAAAGTGACGGTATCGTTATTTTTTATTGATAATTCAGATAAAAATGGCGGAACACCGCGGAAAAATTCCGTAACTTTAGATAAAAATTACGTAATAATTCCGTAAAATTTCCGACAACCAAATTTCGCTCCAGAATTACGAAAAATACACGTAATTTTAATTGAATATTTCTCTGAGTGTAGTGACCTGTTTTTCAGACAATTGCTTGTCCTCTGCCATTGGACTATTTTAAACCAGAGTATGAGTAAATAAATGATAAAAAGGGTACATTATGCGGGAATGTGAGTGATACAAATTACGATGGAGATGTATGATAGCCAGTGCATTGTTATGATTTGTTAAAAGGACTGTGAAAGAAATAATGGTCGATCAATTCGCCAAGACATGCAAACCCGTTGCACCGAGTTCTCAACTGTTAATACGTTACGTGTACATTGATATGAAACTTGGTGAAATGACAGAAGTTTAATTATTGTTAACCCTTTTCCCGTCACCCCTTCGAAGGTTCAGGCGAGTGTCAGGATTTTTTTTTTCGGGAGAAATTTCTTACGATCACGATATCTCGATTAAACTTTGACGATTTCTACAGTTTAGCCCTGAAAGTTCACCTGGTAATGAGTAATTTTGAGTTTTTCTCACATCCCCGGGGAGAGGTTACGGTTCCTTGGTACAAGCTTGCGAGCCAAGGCTGTGGCAAGGCTACACTGATAGCCGGATTCAAGCTTGTGTTAAAATGATTAAAAATTGAAATGTGAAATAATGAAATAATGAGTACTTACTGAGTACCGTAATTAATAATAAAAAAAAATCGAAAAGTATTTTTTTTTTCAATTTAAATTTCCGTTTTTTATAAATTTCAAATATCAACAATTTAATTTTCCGAAAAAATCGAAGAGTACGTGGATTGAAAAAAAAAAATAATATAATCAAAATGACAATAAGAAAATGGCGGAACTCGAGAGAAATAGGAGCATAAATAAATGATAGAACGCAATAAATTTGGGATCGGTTACAATTTAATAATTTACCTGTCACATCGAGGGGTTGTATAATTTAATCAAGACTAATGATAGCTGGAATAAATAATAATATAACAAATGTGATACACGTTGTGGTATGTAAAATTCTTACTTGGGGCCAGTGGAGTTGGATAGGTCGCATGGTAGACGACTCGCTGTGAATTTGCGTGATTGTAGCCAGCCATAGCCTCCACCAATGATTGAGGATTTTTATCGATCGACTTTTACACACAGATATTTAAAGTAGCTCAAGTTCTTTCCTCTTCTATTGTTATTTCCGTAATGCTATCAGTCACGTTAACCATTCTGTGATATTGGGCCAACAGTTTAAATTAATCCACTTCACTCCAGATGTTTAACAACAGCATATTATAATTTTGTCAATAAATATTTATTAAATAAACAATAAATTGCGCTGGAAGGGGAGAGAGTACGATGACTGGAGCTGTCCGTTGGTTGTTCGTACTCATTAGTTGATGCGCACTTTGTGGAATAATTGTTAATTATTTTAGAAATTAATGAAGATTAATCGAAATTCCGATGGATTCAGTTGCTGATGGAGAGGTTTAGGTGTGAATGGTGGAGCATTACCGAGGACGATCTTACACAGCCAAACGGGGACACCATGTCCCATAAAATAACGCTCTATATCCCTGGTTATTTCAATAATTTTATCCTCTCAGTCGGTTATGCACCTAGATTTATATCACGTTAATCGGTACTGAAAAGGAAGAGAAAACAAAATTTCGAGTGTCTCACGAGTTAGTTGTCACGTGTACCTTCACGCGTGCGTCAAGATGTTGGATCTATCCTCGTTGATTTATATTATTCACTATTTATTGCATTCTCATATTTATCACTGTCAATGTTCACTTGAATCTTTGTTTTCAATCACTCCTTTAGTCCCATCAATTTTAAGCTCTGTTGCAGCTCTTACCTCCCCTCTAATAATCTACGACACAACACTGAACCCGTCCCAAGAATCGGGACAAAATAATGTAATCAGTGACACCTAAGAGACTAGTCCATTCAAAAACAATTACTCCGCTCGATACAAATTGTACATTAAAATAATTACGGAAATTCGTTTCACGGCGCTGCTGTTCGATGAAATATCCTGTTATCGTGGATTAAAAACCGACGGTACCATGTTCCTTCTCTCACTAAATTCCCCACGAAATCCGACTCCAGGTCCAATTAATCCTGTCGATTTATCGAATTTGTTACAATTATTTAACCTTGTACGTATGATTTTATTTCCACCGTATTTTAAGGAATTACTGATTTCCCAAGCTTTTTTTTTTTTTGGCTTTTATTATTATTCGAAGACCAGATTTCAATATAATTATGATGTTGCGTGGAAAATTTGTTATATACACGTGTACTATTTGCGATGAGGTTTTTGTTTATAATTTTTTTTAACAAAATAGTGGAAATAAATTTTGTTTTTTTTTTTTTTTTCCTTTTTTTTTTCTTTATTCTTTTGGCTCCGCGTGTGTGCTCCCGAGCGGCGGGAGCCGCAGAGTGAGCAAACTCATGCCAACCTCTTTCACATGCCACCCTTTCGCTTCGATTTCATCCCCTCTTGGTATACCTTCGCCTGGTGCTGCCCCGTGCAGTCTACCCCCACTAGGTGGCCCTAGCTATCCACTCACAATTTTAACGGAAAAGCCTCTCCTGTGAGCAGCCTCCCCCATCCCTCGCCCTCTCGATGAAACCCGGCCGCAGCCCTGGGCTGGAATCTGCTCCTCTCATTCTCAACCTTCATCCATCCTTTATCCTTCATCCTCTATCATTTTTTTTTTCTCTCCATCGGCTGAAATCGTTGGATGGGAGATCTCTGAGCGAAGTTCCTACCCCAATGCTCAAGAACCGCAACCCTGGATGGGAATCCCCGTGCTGATCTCATTCTCAAACTCCATCATCTCCTAGTGGACTTCATTTTTTTTAACCTATCGACTGAAATCATCCGGCATCGGGTCTTTGAGCGAAATTCCCACTCCACTGCTCAAGGAATCCTCAGGGAATGTAATCTCAATCAGCTATCCTCGGGGTCTCGTAATCGAAGGGATTTGAGATTATCCCAAAATACGATTGTCCGTGGAGACTAGATTGTTCCATAGGTTAGAGTCACCCGGTACCGGATGTTTGAGCAGAATTCCTACTTCAACGCTCAAGGGAGATCTCACACCGAATGTCATATCAGGCTGTTACCGTTCTCTCGTAATCAAAGAGATTTACGATTATCGGAAAATACGACTTTCCTTGGAGACTCAATTTTTCCATCGGTTAGAGTCAATCCGCCCCGGATGTTTGAGCGGAATTCCTATATCTCCAACGCTCAAGGGACATCTCCATGCGAATGTAATCTCAGCCAGTTACCGTTCGCCTCTCGTAATCAAAAGGATTTACGATTATCTGAAAATACGATGATAGTGGTACTTGTGGATGAACACGTAGATGAGTGCTCCCAGGAGTAATGGAGGTTCGAGTGCATCCGATGTGATGTCAATAGGAATAGATCGGATAAAGGGGAGGAGTTGGTGTGCACCTCCACCAGAGACAATCGCACGTGCGCCAATTTTTTCATTCCCACATACCAAGGGGTCTCTCAAGAATGATAAGAGATACAAAAAGAGGGGAAGGGGG